ACTAAAAAGTCTGAAAAGGTTGTAACCAAGCTAATAACTATATAAAAATCTATAGTTTAAATTTTATATAATAATATTCAATATTGATAGAATTATAGATATCGAAAAACTACTGTTTTTGGTGTAAAAGGGTGGTCCGAAAGGGGGGTGGTCCGAAAGTAGGGTAGTTGACTTATATCATATCATATTATATCATATAAGATAATAATCATTGTCTTGTCTTTGTTTGTTTCGTTGATTGATAGGATGTCAAGAAATTATAAGTAAATCACCCTAATCCACTCTTCCATTCATTCATCAATTATGACCTATGTGGATGACTAACCAAAACCCATCAATTCACCTATTACTAAAGCCTAACGCCATCCATCCATCCATCCATTATCCATCATCACATATCCCAGATACATCCTAGATATCATCACCACATCCACATTCCCCTCTCCCTTCCTCTCTCCCCTCCCCTTCCTCTTCCTCTTCCTCTTCCTCTTCCTCTTCCTCTTCCTCTTCCTCTTCCTCCTCCCCATTCCATCTCATCCCATCTCATCACCCTTTTCCTCTTTCCTTTCCTTTCCTTCTCCCTTCCCTCCCCCCTTTCCTCCCCCCTAACGTATAAATACTCTCCGTCCAACTATTAACCTGCAACCCCGTCTCCGCCATCGGCGCATCCTTTAAAAATTCCAACGGCATCCAAACCAAATGTCCCTTTATCTGATCCAATTTCTGACGGATTTCCTCTGGAGGAATCATACGATCATAGATATGACCTGAGCGAATTCCCTTTGCGGGTAAGAATTTATCGTAATCATCGAAGGTTTTGACTATTTTGAGGTTAGATTTCAAGTTTTCATTTAGAGATAAATACGATTTACTAGATGGGGTGAAAAGAGGGCTTTCTTTGTGTTGTGGTAAAGACGAGCAAGACAAGAAAAAAGAAGAACATACCAAAATTATCCGGATCAGCATGAAACAACTGTCTAAACATTTGAGAATTCTTTGTCGCTCTACTAGTCCACATATCCCATAATTCATCATTCAATGGATCTTCCACAAATTGATATGTCTCACCCTCATGAATATCATTCGGAACATGAGGAGGTTGAGCATTAGGATCATCATCCGCATCCAATTCTTGTGGCAAAAGTAAACCTAAATGTTCACGCCAGAGATATTTCCTCAAAGTTGCTGCATGATAACCTGCTTCGTATGGTTGACCATTCATGGTACTTGGAAACGTTCTCGTATCAGTCATGACAATGGAGAGTTCACTATCATGAATACCGAGTTGTGAACGATCGTTGAGGTTTGAGCTTCCGCAAATAACTGTTCTGTCATCCACAATGAGGATTTTGGCGTGGATATATAGTTCTTCTTGAATCCAATTGTCGGCTTCTCCTTTAAGATCACCCTCCCATGGCTCATCAACCAAATTAGGTTGCATGTGCATAGCATTCTTAGCTACACTATCAGTACTGGTTGGTTGTTTATCTGTCCCGGCTGCTTCTGCCTTTGCTTCGAACTTTCTCTTAGCATCAGTCTTTCTCTCCTGAGATTCGTCTCCAGAATCATCGTGATGTAAAGCATCTTTAGCCTTATCCTTCAATTGGTCATGCTTGTCAACCTCTTCAACTCCAGGACCATGAATACCCGAGGACATAATTTCCTCTGCCTCGGCTCTCTGTACATCTTGGTACTTGACACCAGATTCTTCCTCTTGCTTCTTGACTGCTGGAGTGACGTTCAAACGATCATAAGATCGTAGGTTAAAGAAAAATATATGTTCTTCTGGTTCGACACCTTCCTTTCTGATTTGCTCGAATATTGAATGTTCGCCTCGACAGATAGATTTATACTGATAATCCATAATGGCTCTCGTTCCTAAGGCTGCATCATCTCGAAGATCACCAGCGAAGCCTGGAATGGAAGGAATTAAAATGATGACTCGAAACTTTCTACCCTCCTTTCCAGCTCTGACAACAGCATCAACAATTGCTCTTCCAATCGTATTTCTGATTGGAGCTTGTTGATCGCCAGTTGCTGTTATGAAGAATTGATTCTCAATATAGACGTAATGTTGAGCGTTTCTGATCAGTTCACTATAGGCATTTTGAATGCTGTGTTCCGGAACAATACCACTGGACCAATCGGCGCTACTTCGAACGATTTGAGCATGAACAGTTCCTTGCTCTCCTAATGACTTTGTACTCAATGGTGTAAGTGGATGTCCGACATATTCTCCAACAGGATGTTTCGGTCTTTGAACTCCCACCAAATCTTCATTCTCACCATCTCTACCCTCAAGAATCAACCAGTCAAAACGATCATCACGTTTATATTTGTCTCGCTTGACAAAATTCCACCTCAAAACGAAATGTTCCGCAATATCATAAACGCAGTCTCCGACAACACCCATAGCAACATCATGCCACGGCATACGTCCAAACTCAGCTTTTGATAATTCATTAGCTTTCCAATCTTTCACATCTTGAAAGTCCATGATACGATTATTGTTAAAATCTTGTCCTGGCCATACTTCGGTTGCGACTCCTTCGGGGTGTATATCGGCGAGAGGATGTTGATGATTATCCCATCTTCCAAAACACAAGTCCAAACCACCAATAAATGCCAAATTGTAATCGATCACAATGAATTTTTCATGATGAGCCCAGTAGAAAGTCATATCGGCAGCATTCTCGAGAACGTTGTGATCGGGATGTCGCATAATCTGAATATTGCCATATCCTGGAGTACCTTCGGGACATAGAGCTTGGAGAGCATGTTTCGTATGTTGAGAATTACAAGTAAGGGCAGCCTATAAGAAGAAGTTAATCAACAAGTTTTCGAGAATTCCGTTCGCAAACCTACCTCAACTTCTCGATAAACAATAACGAATATCTTAACTCCAGCTTCTGCCCGGCGCTTGAGAATTTGATCCAACCGCCATTGTTGATTGTAATACGGGGGTCTTCGCAGGAAAAGTTCAGGAGATAACCACCAATCCGCAATATATATGGTTTCTTTCGCAGACTCGAGCGCAGCAGATACAGCCCAAAAGTAATCCCTTCCATCAACATACCACTTTATATTATTTCCCGGTCTTTCTGGTGCGAAAGACTCGAAACGATGAGATTCGGCGATCCTCGATCTCTTCTCATCTGTAATCTTCTCATGTTCTTCGTCATGACGGTGATTTGGATTAAACTATTTTCAAAGATTAGTATTTGTTCAAAATCAATGGGATAATGAGAGAGCTTACCAAATTTCCTAGTTTGCCAATCTGATGCCTATGTGGTGTTTAATAAGGTATATTCATAATCATATTCTTCCACTTACTTCTTCTGTATCAAACCCACCTTCACATCATGAAGTTTGGTATCGTGTAATTTCTGTCGCAGACTAGAAAAAGGATTCTTCGCCTTTTCCTTTAACTTCGAGGTATCAGATCCGCCATCTGCGGGAGCGGCGGTAGACATATTGAAGGTTACTACTCTAGATGTAATGTCTATATTGTGATTGTGCCGGCCTGGGTCGATGTTCTGAGCCTGCACGTAAATGAAAGGTCGGCGGTGATACTCGAGTAGTATAAAACAACTGCTAGTAAGCTATCTAGTCCTCGTATTTCAATTCCTTCTTCGAAAAACGAACGAGGGGCTTGATCTTGATCGCGGGGCAATCAATCAATCAAGCTGAGCCGAGTGAATCAATTATAAGCTTGCTTTTAGTGAATGCCCAGCCTTATAATACGTCACTGTGCCGCTGTTTTGTACCACTGATCTTATAAGAATGGAACTGAACCCTGAAAATACCAACTTAATTCAATTGCAATTAAGTTGTACCTGCACGATGTCTGTCTACTTTAAGTCTTGTGACAGTTTTAAAACATCGAAATGCTTCTTTGCTCTGTTATACAGTTTACATTCCGTACTTGTAACATACCGACAATGGCTGAAAACGGGCTATATTGTTTGTTATGCACCAATTATCAATGTGAAAGCGGCCCGCCAAGCCAATAAAATACCCCGTGAGAAAGCCTGCAATCCCCTGTAATGTTAGGTTGCACGTGGCTAAACGACTATTCATACTCGAGTATATCTTTTTATTCTATAACGTGG